AAAAAAAAAAAAAAAAAAAAAAAAAAAAAAAAGGCTGGGATGGGAGGAGAGGAAGAGTTCTTCCTACATAGCTAGTCAGTGGTGACCACAACTTCCTCTGCCCTTGGATGGGCCAGAAGTGAGGGGACTGCTGTGTTTGTCAAGGGCAGGAGAGGAGGGTTGTCTGCATAACTGGTAATTTGAAAAACACACTGCCATGGATCCTCTGGGCCAGCCCCACCTGCCCACCTCCCTGGGCCCCCTGGGTGGGCGTGGCCGGAGAAGGAAGGAAGCCCCTGGGCTGCTGACCCAAGGTTGTGAGTCATCCAGACGCCTTCCAGCAAAGCGTGAGCATCTCCACATCTCTGGGACCCCTGCCTGCAACCAGGCTCATTCTGGTCTCAGACCCACAGAAATGCCCAAGGCATTCTGGAGTCCCAGAAAATGGGGAAGAGGTCCCCCCAGGACACAGTGCTACAAAAACGGGTTGGTAGTTGAAGATTTGGAGGCAAATGGGCTTGGTGAGGATCCAGTCTGGAAAGAAAACAACAGGAAGTTACTCCATTAGGGAAGAACAGCTGGAGGCCATAGAAGAATGCACTTCAGGATTCCCTTCTCCCCCAAAACCGCGAAACCACGGGAACCACCATGTGGAGAGCACATAGGGGGCAGTGTGGACAATAGCAGGGCCAGGCCTGTTTCCCACCCCATGTCGCCCTCTGCTGGGAGGATTCTGTCCCCAGCACCACACCAGGCACTCACCATGAAGGGGTTGGTAGAGATCCCAGATGGCTGGCTGAGTGGCCTTTGCACCAGCCTGGTGGATCCCAAGTCCCCAAAGGAAGAGCCTGGGAAGCAAAAACAGTGCATCAGTTGATATGACCAGCCCCATACTGCCACCATGGCTCCTCCTGGAACAGAGGCACTTGCTGCATCCTAAAGGGACGGCCAGAGGGTCTCCTGTGGAATTCTGGCCTAAAGATAGAGAGTAGCTTGCTGGACGTCACAGGCACGTCCGCTGCTCCCTGGCTCCCCCCACTGGTCAGAAATGGAACTAGCTCAGAAGCGCGCTGGGGCACAGCACCAGCAGGGGCCCTTTCAATCTGTAGGTTCAGCATCAACCACTGATTGAAAGTAGCTCTTCTCCTGGGCCTGTACTGAACGTGCATGGACCTTTTACTCCTTGACATCCATCCCTTGACAATACAATGTAACAGCTATTTAACTAGCATTTATATTGAACTAAATATGGTAACTCAGTCCTGTGCAAATACCACACCATTTTATATAAGGCACTTGAGCCCCAGTGGTCCTGGAACCAACTTCCTATAAGACTGAGGGCTGACTGTCTACATGCAGGGGAACTTGCGCCAGAGAAGATGCATCTGAAACCCTTACCATTCTGCTGCGGAGTCAGTGAGGTCTGCGGTGGGAACAGCGGGGAGGGGAAGGTGCTGGCAAAGACCCCAGAGGGTGGCACTGGCTGGGTGAAGCCAGGCCCGGCGCTGCTCATCCCAAAACCAGGCCCTGTGGGGTGAGATAAGGCTAAGGCAAACTCCCCAGAGGGCTGAGAACGGTTTTCCTTACATCCTTTCCTCAGAAGGACCCTGAATGAGTATGAAGAATACCATCAAGTCTGCCATCCTGTCCATGGCAGAGGGTGTTTTTATCCCTCTGCCTCAGCTTTCTTGTCTCTAAAATGGGTACAGTATGTCTCTCACAGGGTAAAGAGGCTGAGCCCTGGGAGCCCATCCACTCCTCTCTCCTTGGCCTCAGGACCGCAGAGAAGGATGAGCAGGAGTTTGAGGACAGAAGCAGAAGCTGCAGAGCCCCAGGGTGACAAGGGCAGGTTTGTGATTTCACAGTGATCTCCCGGAAGCTTAGGGACACAGACAGGGGCTGGAGACAAGAGACTCACTGACTTGGGCTTTTGTTTTGTTTTTGCGGGGCTAGGGATAGAACCCAGGAGTTGCATGTGCTAGGCGAAGTGCTCTACCATGAACTACATCCCAGCTGCTATGGTTTTGATCTAAAATGTCCCCCACATTCTCCTGGGCAGAGGAGGAGGTTTGGAAGGTGCCTGGCTCATGGGGCACGCATCCATGCCGAGTCAGAGCTCAAAGTGTTGTGAGGAGGCGGGGCCGGGCTGGAGGAGGATGGTCACACCGGAAGGTGAATCCTCCTCTCCGGCTCTTCCTGCTCTGCTTCCTGGCTCGAGCAACATTCCTCGGCCAGGTCCTTCCACAATGCCATTTCTGCCCTGGAGCCAGCCAAACATGGACTGAATCCTCTGAAACCATGAGTCAAATAAATCTCTCCTACTTTGAGTTCTGGGTGTCCGATATTTGGTCCCAGCAAAGGAAAGGCTGACCAATATGCCAGCCCTTTTTATTCTGAGACAGAGTCCCATCAAATGGCTCAGGTAGGGCTCAAACTTACAGTCCTTCTGCCTCAGCTTCCCTAGTCCCTGGGATTACAACAAGTGTACTTTTAGTTTTTTCCTAATCCTAAAATTCTGATTGAGTTGGGTGCTTTTGCTTTTAGCTTCCTGTGTTGGCCTGGGTGAAAATAGGTCTGGTCTAGGCTGGTGAACAGTGGTGGGGGCACAGCGAGAAGTGGAGAGGTAAGGAGTGGGATGGACAGCTGCTGGGGAATTGGTACTCTGGGGAATCTAAAAAGGGCAGGGGAAATGGGCATGGAGGCACATGCTTGTAATCCCAGCACTCCACTGAGGTGGGAGGATCACGTGAGTCTGAGGCAGCCTGAGCTACATGAGAGACACTGTCAAAAAAGGGGAGGCAGGGTACAGTGTAGGCGACTTACCGGGGGCCAGGCCATTGGGCTGGAACGGGTTGGTGGAAGGCAGCTGGGGCTGGGCCACAGGGGTGGCGAATGGATTGGTGAAAGCTGCTTGGGGTAGAACAGGAAGAGAGAGAGAGTTACTTTCCACTTGCTCAACCTGTGATTACTGCAAGTTCTTCTGAAGCTTGACCTGCCCTCCCGCCCTGCTCCCTTCGCTGTTTTCACTCTCTTCCTCTGGAAGAGCCTGGACCTGCCTGGTCCCCCGAGGCAGGCAGGACTCACCTCCAAAGGCAAGTCCTGTGCTGCCACCACCAGGCATGGCAGACTGGAGCACGGGGACCTGGCCGGTCATCCCGAAGATGCTGCAGGATGTGGAGAGAAGTCGGGGTGCTCATCTTCCAGGCCAGGGGAACATGGCCATTGTGCTCTCAGGGCAGGAGGGGGACTGACAGGGAGGGGAGCAGGAGGAGCTGAGGTGGGGCAGGCAGGACCAGCCCTGAGGGACATCCCCCGAGGCCTAGACCCACCTGCCAGGGACACCTCCAGTTGGCACCCCAGGTCCCAGGAGGCTGCCCATATCTGTGAGGCTGCTGGGCTGACTGGCAGCTGCAAGCGGAGCGGCACCAAATGGAGTCACTTGGCTGCTTCCTGGGCCACCATGAGAGATAAAACAGGAAGAGCTGGGTGAGACAGGAAGAAAGGGGCAGGAGGTAGAAGTGGGGTGTGGTAGAGGAGTAGAGCGATGGCCAGGAGGCTCCCTTGGCTGTTCAGAATGCGCTGAATTGGCAATGCTCCCCCCAGGGTGGGAGGGCTTGTCCCCCTCTGAGTTCTGGGCAAGGTGACAGCTTAGGCCGTCCCCAGTACTTCAAGTTGCCACTTGGAAATACAGTTCCTCCTTGAGTCAGGCCATCCTCCCACCTGCTCTAGTTTGGCTTGCATGTCTGTCTTTATCAACGTGTCACAGGAAGGGACAGGCAGAGGAGCTGTGAAGGACAGCAAGTCTGAAGCACACTCAAGAGACGCACGGGGACTGTGCGGAAATCCCCGGCCACTGATACTCATGGAGCCGCTTCCTCTTGGGAAGCCGCCTTGACTGACGCCCTGAGCTCGGGCACATCACTCCCGGGGCCAGGCAACTACGAGGGTCTCTTCTGTCTTCATGTCCAATAAGCAAAGCACAGAAGGCCAGGCCCACAGGGAAGTGTTACAAGACGGCTGGAGGAGCAAGACAATCCCAAGCAATCCCATCGCATGATAAGCTCCTGGCCTGAGTCCATCATTCCACAAAACCCTCTTTACCTGTGTGTGGAACTCATCAGCACTGTGGGACCCTGCCAGCCACTCAGGGCTCTGTGAAGGTGAACTGAGACCACAGATGCAGAGAGGCAGAAGACTCACTCCTACCGAAGCCAAGCAAAGTCTGCCTAGCATCCGCAACATGACAGTGCTCCATAGGTGTTTATGACAGGGATATCTGACTGGGAGTCAGAACTGGATCCTCGTAGCACCTCTGCTATTTGGTGTGTTTCTGGAAAACCATACCCTTCTCCTGAGCACCCCCCAGCCTCTAGCTTCGGCCTTCAACAAAAGGCTCTGTCTGCTAACTCCTGCTCTCTACTATGTTCAACAGAAGCCTGTCTTCAGAGCAGCCTGCCCTAGCCACCAGGGTGGATTTGATTCTGGATTTCTTCTTGGAGCAATCCGCTCTTGTCCTTCACAGCACCTAACAACCTAACATGCTTGTAGTGCTGTGCTTTTATTTATCTCTTTTTTTTTTTTTTACTTCCAGTACCAGGGATTGAACTCAGGACCTTGCACTTGTGAGGCAGGCATGGCACCATGAGCTAAGTCCCCAGACCTGTGCTTTTATTTCTTTATCAACTGTATCCCCAATGGAACAAATCTTACCAACATGACTTGCACATGTGCAAAACGTGTAGAATTAACTGCTGCACTAATTAGTAGTAAAAGGCTGTAGACATACGAAATATTTGACAGGGAAATGATGAGATGAATAATGGCATATACATACAATGGAATTTTATGTACTTATAAAAGAGAACAAAGAGGGCTAGGGGTGTATCTCAGTGGTAGAGTGCACACTTAGCAAGAGGTGCTAGGTTTGTTGACAGTACTACTGAGGTAAAAAGATAAAGCTGGGTGTGGTGGTGCATGCCTGTAATCCCAGCACTCTGAGTGAGAGGCTGAAGCAGGAGGACTAGTTTGAGCCCAGCCTGGACAACTGAGCAAGGTCCTGTCTCAAAATAAAAAGAGGGCTGGGGGTGTACCCCATTGTGGACAAAGAAACAAATAAAATCAAAGTGTAGAACACTATGTACATTTTTCCATAGAATGTATAAAAAATGGGAGAACAGAAAGAATGGAGAGCAAGGGAGCCGGCAGACAGCACTGACGGGCAGCGGAAACGCCTGGCAGCATGGGAAACTTTAAATGTATTAGTAGAAAAGGGAAAAAGTCAGAGAAAGTGGAGGTGAGGGTTCAGATAGGAGAACTGACAGAACAAAGTCCTACCAGAAGTAGGAAAGAACAAGGGGGAAATAGGCCAAGAAAGATTCCTTTCTTCCCCCCTTCCTTTTGATAGACAAGAGGAAGGAAAAGCCAAATGGAAAAGCGGTGACATGAGACAAGGAAAAGGCAAAGCCTGACTGGTTCTGAAATCTGTTTGCTCCCTGGCTCTCTATGACCACAACCTGATCTTTTTTTTTTTTGAGACGGTCTCACTATGTAGTCTAGACTGGCCTTGAACTTGGGGCAGTCCTCCTCCTGCCTCAGCCTCACAAGTGCTGGGATTACAGGTGTGTGCCACCACGACTGGCCCACAGCCTGGTTTCTTGACAATAAAATTTTGGGTTTTCCTGAAGGGCCTAGGACTGTGATTTGCATCTCCATGCTTTCCCCCATCTAAATGCTGTACTTGACAAGCGTAATGGTGCATGCCTGTAATCTCAGCACTTGGGAGGCTGAGGCAGGAGGATCACCACAAGTTCAAGGCCAGCCTGAACTATAGTGAGACCCAGTGTCAAACCCCCCCCCCAAAACCAAAAAACACCTGGCATCTCCTACTGCCAGGTCTTCAAGGCCAGCTTCATCTTACTGACCATCTGCCTCCCTTTACCTACTCCCTTCCAATCCTGCTTTCTCCACAAGGGCATCCTCTCCGAACTTCCCTCTGGCAGGCCTCCTACCACAGGTTGTAGGCAGATTGGGCTGGGCTTCCTGGTCCTCCAGGCTTTTGCCCTTCATTGAAGATGGCATTTCTGAGAAAACTATCTCCCTCTCCTCCAATAAATCAGACTCTTCATGCTCTGGGTGCTCTCACAAGGAGGACCAGGCCTTCACCCCTCCGGGCTGCTTCTGGTGTTGAGCTGCAGGCTGTGCTGTGCCATCCGCGGACACTAGAGGGCAGCGCTGGCCCTAAACCAGATGACCAGGGCCCTCACTGAGTGGGTGTTTCACAGGGCCCCGCACTTAGCTTTGCTTCTATGCAGCTGGCTTGCTTGCACGCATACCTCAGAGCAGTCTGAGAGAAACCGCAGTTTCAGAAACTTCCCCTCTCCACACTCCTCCTCAGAGATATAAAAATAAATCTAGGCTTGTCAGAAGACACACCTTGCCTCTCAAAATCTCTTCATACTTCCTACCCAATATGACCTTGGTTCATGCTGGCGTTTGAACTCAGGGCCTTGCACATCCAGGCAAGCATTCTGCCACTAAGCTCCACCCCAGCTCCTCAATAGTTCTGTGTCACACTCAGTGGAATACTCACGATTGTGGTGCGGGGAAGAAAATGAGTAGGAAAGCTGAGGCAGGAGGATGGCAAGTTCGAGCCCAGCCTGGGCAACTTAGGGAGACCCTATCTCAAAATAACAAGTAACAAAGGATAGGGGATTTAGCTCAGCATGAATGCTGAGTGGGTTGAATACCCCAGTACCCAAGAGAAAGAGAGAGAATGGGGCCTCCACTCCGTAGCATTTGCTTTTAGCCAAGTCACTGCTCATGTGAGCCAGTTTTCTCAGCTGCAGAGTGGGGAGCTTTTGTCTCCTTCATAGACATACTCTGGAAAAGCACTCAGTGACAGCAGGAGCCTAATGTTGGTTGGCTCTGGATTTGGTTGCAGAGTTTGCTTTCTGAGATGAGCAGACACTGGACAAAGCATTCAGTACCTAAACAGACTTATCTCTCTGGGTCTGCCGGGTAAGCAGTGTCTCGACGCAATTCTGCACCAGGAAGGTGTTACACAACCTTGGGTGGGGGTGCAGCTCAGAGCCGGGCAAATGCTCAACATGCATGAGGCTCTGGGTTCAACTCCCGGCACCATCAAAATAAAAAAGAAATAACCTTATCTCAGCTGTCTCATCTAGTGCTCCCATTCCCAGGAAAGCAACTCTTGATAAACTGGATATTCCTGTATTTCATTTATATTCCAGCCAGTGGTATACAAAAGGGTCCATGTCCCCATGTAACATGGGCCATTATCTTTCTTCAGATTTTTTGTCAATATAAAATATTATCCTCATTTGAGTTTCTGATTAGCTATGTTGAGGATATTTTTTCATTTCTTTTTTTTCTTTTTTTGGAGACAGGTTCTCATTATATAGTTCAGACTGGCCTCGAACTATGTAGCCCAAGCTGGTCTCAAACATATGGCAATCCACCTGCCTCAGCCTCCTGAGTGCTGGGATTACAGGCATGCACCACCACACCTGGCCCTATATTTTTTTTCTGAATATCTGCTTTTATTCCTTGTCTATTACCCCATTCTCTATGGTTTATGTATGAGTTTCACAAATGCTTTTATTTTTTTGTACTGGGGATCGAACTCAGGACCTTGCAATTGCAAGGCAGGTACAGTGCCACTGGGCTAAATCCCTGGCTCCACAAATAATTTTGGATATTAACTTCTTTCTGTTTTCTTTTTTTGGCATCAGGGATCAAACTCAGGACCTTGTGCTTGCGAGGCAGGCAGTGGCACCACTGAGCTAAATCCCTGGCCCAACTTTTTTTCTGTCTTTTATGCTGTAACTTCTTCTATCTGTTTCATAGCTTTAATGTTCATTTAGGACATCTCTTGATAACATGACCTGTGCAGTTATCTGTTTTTGAATTTATAAAGATTTTGTTTCCTAGTACATGGTCAAATTATAACAGGGTTATAAGTTTGAAAATAATGTGATGATCAAAAGGTACAATAATGTTTAAAATTTAATACAGTAGAAGACACAGTGTCAAGAACAATGGGATGAGTGTGTTTTGAGGGGGTGTTTTAAGTATTCTGATTGGCTATTACAGATATATCTACATCTATAGATATAAATATATATATATTTTGGTACTGGGGATCAAACTCAGGACCTTGCACTTGTGAGACAGGTGTAATGCCACTGATCTAAATCCATGGCCCTGGAGTTTTAAAATTTAAACATTTGTTGTATTAGGTTATGACCCCTCCATGTTGGTCAAAAAATTATGGCAATTTCTATCAAGTAAAAACATATAAGAGAAAGGACCCAAGTTTGATCCCTGGTACCAAAACAAACAAATAAAGAAAAAAACAAATAAAAATATTACAGTGTGAAAATAAGTAGTATTTCTTAGGTGTCAAGATTCATATATTTTCACCTCACAAGCGCAAGATCCTGAGTTCGATCCTGGTCCCCCCCCCAAAAAAAATCATATATTTTCAAATTTATATTCTAAGTAGCTAGCGTACCGCCTGGCATATGGCAAATGTCTATGTTGAATGAGTTAAAACTTTAAGACAGGAATAAATACAGTTTACAGTTCAAACTCCATTGCTAAAATTTTGTAGGAGTTTACTAATTTACTTATTTTTATTTTTTAAAATATGCTAAATAAAATATACTTTGAGTTCTGAAAAGAAAAATTACAGTGTGTCCTCATCCACCCTATTCACTGGATCTGGCACCATACAACTTCAAAGTCATACAAAGTCAAACGACCGTGAAAAGTAAATATTTCAAACTGGTTCAGATATTGAAATAGCCACGACACCGCAACTGAAGACACTCGTGAAAGAGGACTTCCAGAGCTGCTTCAGAAAGTGGCCAGAATGATGGGATGAGTGTGTTTGAAACGAGGGAGAATATTTTGAGGTGGATTAATGGCAATATGCCTTTTACCATAATACATTTTAAAAAATTAAACATTCACCATATTTTTTATCACACTTCATATATTCTATGCTGGAAATGTAGCTCAGTAGTAAAGCATGTGCTTAGTGTGTGTAAGGCTCTGGTTTCTATAACTACTACCATAAAAGAAAAGAATATACAGTTTGCTAGTTATAAAATTCTATTTACATTTGTTAGAACAAATTTATTAAACAACTACTCAAATCATCTTTATTGTTTTATTATCTACCTATTTTACGTAGTAATCTTGTGAGTGTATTATAGTCCACTCTTGATTTTTTTGTTTGTTTGTTTGGTTTTTTGAGAAAGGGTCTCACTATGTAGTTGAGACTGACCTGGAACTCACTATGTAGCCCAGGCTGGTCTCGAACTCACAGTGATCCTCCTACCTCAGCCTCCTGAGTGCTGGGATTACAGGTGTGTGCCACCATGCCCGGCTCACTCTGTTGATTTATTAGGTGCTCATCACATCTAATAGGTTTTGCTTTGAGAATCTCAAGGTTCACTGTCCGTTACTTTAAGTACATGACTGGGAGAACGTCCTTGTGAGTTTTAACTTTTATTAATATAAAAGGTCTCTCATTGTTCCATTAAAAATAAGTAAAATCAGACCAGGGATTTAGTTCAGTGGTGCCACTGTCTGCCTTCCAAGCACAAGGTCCCAAGTTCAATCCCGGGTACCAAAAATAAATAAATAAAATCAAAATAAAAGTCTCAGCTTTGCCTCTTTGTGGTCTTCACATGGCCCGACTAACTCTTTCATCTATAAAACAGCTCGGTGGTGATAACTCTTTGGGAGGTCAGTATTGAACCCAGGGTCTCACGCACGCTAAGTACATGCTCTACCACAAAGCCCTGGTCAAATTGTGCATGGATCCTTTCTGCATTCAAAACTGTACGATAAGAGGCGCTTGGGCAGGCTGTGGGGTAGGAAGAGTAACTTACCAAAGCTGTAACTTCCAGTTAGCATCCGACTGGCTGGCGGTGAGGGTGGAGGAGGGAGAGGGAGGGGAAAAGAAGGGAGAGAGTGTGAGTCACTGGCTTGTTCACAGACATCTGGATCTACAGGGCTCCAGCTGCCTTCCCCCGAGGCTGTGCACACTGATATCTGGAGGCCGGGGAGCAATCAGGTGCTTTAAAAAGGCCTTCAGAGCCTCCTGCAATTGGACTTTGCAGGCCTTTGCTATTAGAGAGATGTTGAGGTCTTCCCAAGAACTTGAACTTGAACTTGACCCAGCCCTTTGACCCTTTGGGGCCAGTATTCACACACACACAACCAGAGCACTTTAGAGAAAAATTCCCATCCACGCTCAGTTTATCTAAGACTCAGGTCTTTCTCATTCCCCGGTCAGAAATTGTCTAGTGTAGAACCTGCACAACCCCTGGTGCCATTGTAGACAGTTCCTTATGTGAAACATGGGGTCACAGTGCCCTCTCCCGCAACAGGCATGCGTCACACACGCCTCCTTCCCTGGGGCTGCTTCTCTGCACCACCTCCTTTGTCAGGTCAATGGGGACCTGAATGAAGGGCAACTGGAAGAGAAAGGCAGTGGGTGGCAGTTTACCTGCGGGCACTGGCTGGGCCTGGAAGGGGGCTTGGCCCGCAGGAGGGAGGCTTCCAAGAGCAGAAGAGCTGGGACTGCTGCCGAAGGCGTCAAAATTGGCGAAGCCCCCACAGGAAGGTGTCTGGCCTGCAGGTGGAGGGAAGATAAAAGTTGTGTGGAGAAAATCTTTTGCATAATTACAAACATATCTACTAATTCTACGGGCCAAAGATCACTCTTAGGGAACTTCTGCTTGTCTAGAGTCTCCTTTAGAGGAACAAGGCAATGGCCTGAGGCTGAGAGCCAGACTCATATAAGCACAGGGGCCCTGGAAGTCTCCAAGTTCAGTCTCTGTATCTTTTATCCCTAGTCTAGGAGACATGTTTTCGTTAGGGCCTAGTTTTTGGGCAGAATCACGTGAAAAAAAAATGTTTCTGGGGGGTGGGGGAAGGGACCTGAAAAAGAAAAAGGGAAATTAGATACTGTACAACTTTGTTCAACCCTCTGCTGCTACTGATGATGTCTGAGAAAAGGGCACGGGAAATGGAACACATGATAATCTACTTCCTCCCATCTTAATCAAGAGAAAGTAACAAAAAGGCTCTTTCTGAGTTCTAAAACCAAGAGCTAGGAGCCCCCCGCTGTAATGTTTCATGGCCATATGTAATCCCATACGTAATCTCTGCCACATGATTCCACCCCAGTCCTCCAAGGCATGCTGCTTCCAAACAACTATCACTTTATCAGAATGAAGATATCAAGAGCCATGGAAAACTTGGACACCCCAAGCGGCTGAATGTGTTGTTACAGGCATGCGCACTGCAAGAAGGTTCTCACTGCAGTGCCCACTTACCCACAAAGGCTGGGAATGCAGCAAAAGATGGTGTCGCCTGGGGAGCAGCAAAGGGGTCTCCACCAATGTCAGCCAGCAGGTCAGTGCTGGCTTTCTTGGCGGAGGAGTGGGAAGGAGGCTGGGAGCTCCGGGCCTGAGCTGTCCGAGCCTGAGACTGGCTGACAAACTTGGAGGAGAAGAATTGCACAGGGCACTTAGAATCCCAGAGAGGACACAGGCCCCTTGATGGCTCCCAGCTGCCCCAACAGACAGGCAAATGGAGAGAACAGAGTGAACGTCTACCCTCAACTGAGAGGCTTCCAAAGCAAAGGGTGTCTCAGCTCCTCTCTACTCAAATCCAATTCATCTTCTAACTACGAGATGTGATTTAAAACATAGTGTTAAGGCCGGGCATGGTGGCACACGCCTGTAATCCCAGCACTCAGGAGGCTGAGGCAGGAGGATCACTGTGAGTTCGAGACCAGCCTGGGCTACACAGTGAGTTCCAGGTCAGTGTCAACTACATAGTGAGACCCTGTCTCAAAAACAAAAAAGCACAATGTCATGAATCCCCCTCAGAATACTTGCCCTCTTTCTTTGAACACACCTATCCCATCATTCCTGCCACTTTGTTTCCTACTTGTTTTGTCTTTTGACTGCCACTTGCTGAAATAGTTCTGGAAGTCCTCTTTCCTAAGGGTCTTTAGCTGCCCTGTTGTGGCTGCTTCAATGTCCTGACCCAATTCAAAACATTTCCCTTTCATGGTCATTTTGACTTTAAGGAAGAGCCAAAAGTTCCATGATCCCAGATCTGGTGAATAAGGTGGACAGGACACTCCATCATATTTTTACTGCTTGCCTTTCTATTGGACAGCACTTAGCAGCAGCATTCACCACTTTTTGTTTGGTACTGGGGATCGAACTCCAAACCTTGCACTTGTGAGGGAGGCGGTGGCACCACTGAGCTGACTCTCCTACCCAACCACATTTTTGATCATACTTCATAAAGACAAGAGGACTTCAGAATGGCTTCAGAAAGTGGCAAGATTAATTGATAAGTGTGTTCAAAGGAAGGGAGTATTTTGAGGGGGACTCATAACAATGTGTCTTTTACTGTAATAATACTAAAAAAATTTTGAATTTTCACTGTATATTTTGATCACACCCCTTACAGGAGGCCCCAGAACTGTATTATTTTAGACCACATTAAGTCAAGGTAATTCTGAGATACACAAGAATGTACCCAACAGTGTCCTGGGCCCTCTCTGTCCTTAGAGGGAGTGGTCAGGATTATTGGAGTGGACGTTAACTTCCTCACATACCATTTCCTGTCTTCTGAGGGATACAAGGGCTGGGGTGACAGATGCCAGCTACCGGGAACAGCAGGGCTAAGGACCAACTCCCAGCGCCTCTACTGTTGTGTGATTTAGGATAGCGGAACCTGTCTCACCCCCACCTCACCTGGATCCCCACATCCATGTGCAGGGCAGATCTGACAGGTACCTGGCTTGCAGAGGTGGCAGCATCTGGGACAGATGGCACAGGGTCCCCCAGAAGTGTCCTCTGTGGCTTCCCTTCTGGCATGGAGCCTTGGACAGGGGTGGAGGCACTGCCTTTCGTATAAGCCAGTCCCTTGACTTGGTCTGGAGGGACGTACCTTTGAGAAAAAATTGGCAGGCTGTAAAGAAGGCAGAAACCTTGGACTGTGCTCAGTTTAGGTGCTTGGGAAAACACAGGTTACAGAGGTCAAAGTCCTGTCTCATATTTTCTTTACCAATTCCCTCTTTAGGAGTAAGGGAATTTAGCAACTTTAAAAGTTCTGCCCTTTTAGGACTGGGAGTGTAGCTCAGTGCTACACTGCTTGCCTAGCTCGCGTGAGGCCCGGGGTCTAATCCCCAGTACTGTGCAAAAAAAAGAAAGAAAAGAAAAGAGAGAACATTCTGACTTTCTTGAGCACTTTGTTCATTCCCCCCACCCCCACCCCACCCTGGCACCGGGGATCGAACTCAGGACCTTGCGCTTGCCAGCAGGTACAATGCCACTGAGCTACATCCCGGCCCTTCTTGTTCATTTTTTTTTTTTTTTTTTTTTTTTTTTTTTTTTTTTGGTACCGGGGATTGAATTCGAGTCTTTCTGCTTGCAAGACAGGTAGCAGAACCACTGAGCTAAATCCCCGGCTCTTGTTCATTTTTTCTGCAGGAATGTTCAGTTTGCTCTGGGTTGCTCCTGATTTCCTACCCTTTTGATATTTTAAATCACCTGGATTTCACATGCAATGATGCAGAGTCCTATTTTCCAACTTGTTGTCAAGGTCCCTCTTTTCTCTCACTGGGTGTTTCTTCTTAAGTCCTTCTCAGTCCACAGAGAAAATGCCTACCTCTTATTCTCTTAGTGCTCCCAGCCCATCCTGTCTCCCAGGTACTGCTACTTCTAAGATTACCCCCAGATTAAGGGGTCTGATAATATCCCTTCTAATCCCTTCCCCATGGGAGGCTGAGGCAGACGGATTGGAAATTCATGCTCAGCCAGGGAAATTTAGCAAGATTTTGTCTCAAAATGAAAAATAGGTAGGGCTGGGGATTTGGCTCAGTGGTTCCGCAGCCTCAAAAGCACAAGGGCATGAGTTCGATCCCCAGTA